ATATCTCAATATCCCATAATAGGATATTCAAATACGTCATGTGAGAAATATCAATTTTCTTTTTGGGTCAAAAGCAAACAAAATCGATAATCATAATTAATCATTTCAAAAACATCATTTTTTCCTTCAACATACAATATTTTATGCAACAACAAAACAAATTGCTCTTAAAATCTGACAATAAATCTTTTTTGTATCATATCGCACGCAAAGAAAAAGAAACATTAGACACCTTTCTTTATTTATGTAATCATTTCAATTTTGCAAATTTTTATAATTTTCAAGAAAAAAATAAATTACAAAGCTCATTTGCTGCAAAATTTTCACGAGAACAAAAAGAAGAGAGGGAGAGAGAAACACATTGAAAAACTTTCCCTAGAAGTTTAAGGTAAACAAAACTTTCACACAACAGCATATAAATGACTTTACTTTTAGAGAAAATTATTCAAATCATCAGGATGGTGGCGAAGGAAAATACAAATTGTTTCAAGTGGGAAAAAGTAACACAGAAGAAAAATGGGTTATAAAATACGATTTTAAAAATTGAACCAAGGCAATAATTATTTTAAAAAGGTTTCTGGGGGCAAAGCTAGAAATAAAGAAATAAAAACGTTAGTTAATTCGGCCCCCACCATGAGGTGGACATTCAAAATACAAGGGACCTACATTGTAAATTAGGTTATTTTCTACCGACTTAGTATGGGAAATTCGGCTGAAAACTTCAAGGTGGGGTCGATACTTTATATTAGAGACCCCTAATTTTGATTTGGAAATGCGTCCAGGACCACCAGAATACCTATAACCCTTATATGGGGAAGATGTTAGGACCTTCATATAAGAACTATGTCAAAATATGGAACTTTATTGACTTTTTTCCTCAAAGATACTTTTTAGACTCTCAGACATAAGTCTATCAAAATACCGAAAATGGGGCTGGGCCTTTATATGGGGCTATGTCAAAACATCGATCTACATTGAACATTATTTTCAAAGACAAAACCAATAATGCGATTATTATAATTCAACCAAAACGTAGACCTACATCAAACTTTATCTGCGAAGAAGTTGTTTACCCCCGAATAACTGCGAATTCGAAATTACGGTCAATTTTGGTTGGAAATGCGCACACTCAAAATGTGATTATTTTTAAGGATGTATTTAACCCAATAGGAACCCTAAGTACCTTCGATTGGAAAATCCACCGAGAACCATTAACATAACGAAAACGAGGCGGAGTCTCGTGGACTTATATTTAAAATGTTCTGTGGACAAGATTTTATCCTCCGAAAGTCCGCAATCATGGTTAAATGTGCTTAGTACCATAAAAATACCAAAAATAGGGCGGATATTTTTATGAGGGCAATGTGAAGCTATACTAACAATTTTTTTCCAAAAAGTTGTCTTACCCGCCAAGATCCTAAAATGAAGAATTGCAGTCACTTCGGGTCCTATGATCATATTAATATTTTAAATGGGAATGGCTTTGCCAAAACGTCGTCCTATACTAAACATTTTCTAAAAATAAATTGTTTACTAATCAATAATCCAGAATGCCAAATTAGGTCACTTCTGTTGCAGATTGCTCTTAACACCATTGAAATACTTAAAATTGGATCTATTTGAAAAATTGGAGATGTACTGACAATTTTTTTCGAGTTTTTTATCCACAAAGATTTTAAAATGACAAATTGCAGTCACTTAGAATGGAAAAGGATCAGCAGCTAGGATCATATAAATATTTAAAATCGATCGGATTCTATATATGGGGGCTATGCCAAACATGGTCCTATACTGAGAATTTTTCGGAGAAAATATTTTTTTTACCATACCAGAAACTGGAAATTGCAGACATTTCTTTTGCAAATAATCCGCTTAAGACCCTTAATATACTTAAATTGGGCGGGGCCTTTATAGGGAAATACTATGTCAAAATATGAACCATATTCAAAATTCTCATCGTAGAAGTGTTTACCCCCTAAGAACCCATAATATCAAGTTACAGCCACACTCATTAGCAATACGTCTAGGATAATTACGGGACGGGAGCTTTATATGGAGCCAATGTCCAAATATGGAAATATGTTGTTCCCTCTGCAAGAACATACAATTCCTAATTATGGTCACATTGACTAATTATGGTCACATTGACAAAATATCGGAATGGAATGAGACCTTTACATACTTAGCTGGCTTGTGACAGAACTTTCGTTCCATAAGCCGATCTTAAAATAAAGATTTCCAGGCGCGCCGGTCTTGCCCTCAGTTTTTTTTTCAGTTAGAAATACAATGTTCGGCTATGTTGTCTTCCACTTGATCTTTCCATCTAATTCATGGCCTTCACCTTTTGCGTGAACCATCAGATGATTCGCTTTTATATGCCTTTTGTGCTGGGGCATGATTCGATACTTCTGACAATGCCTATGTCCGAGAATAGATGACACAACTCATTGTTCATTCGACGACGATATTCACCGTCGACGAAGATCGGTCCATAGATCTTTCGGATAATTTTTCTCTCAAACACTCCAAGAACTGCCTCAGCAGATTGCGCAAGCACCAATTATTCTGGTTCATACAACAGCGAGGGTAGTACCAGCTTCTTGTAGACTGTGAGTTTGGTCAGGCGCGATGTGGTCTTGCTTTTTAATTGCTTACTCACACCATAGTAGCATCTGTTGGCCAACACCATTCTTCTCCGGATTTCAAAATTAATTTGTTTGTGGCAGTACCGAGGTACATAAAATAGTTCACTACTCCCAAGTTGTAGTTTTAAAGTTCCACAGTTGGTACGAGTCTACTGGGCATCTTGCGCGTTGATACCATCAGATTGGTCTTCTCGCCATTTACTGCCAGACCCACTTTGGCAGACTCCTTCTCAATTCGTTTCAAGGTGACTGTTACCATTTGCAATGTTCGGCCCATTGTATCGATGTCATCGGCGTAAGCGAGTAACACGCGTTATTTTGTGTACAAAGTGTCATCTCGGTTTACCTTTCGTGTGACCTATTCCAGCAGGATATTAAACAGGCCACACGACAATTTGTCACCTTGTCTGAAGCTTCTGAAGCCGCATTGGTATGGTCCAATAATGTCATTGACCATTGGCTTCAATCGTTCACACAGCAACCCTGGTAGCACTTTATATGCGATGGGATGGAGACTTCTGCCTCTATAGTTGGCACATATCATCTTGTCTCCTTTTTTGATTACGGAACACAGGATGCTGAGGTTCCAATCAGTGAGCATGTATTCCTCTAACCAAATTGTGCTAATCAGTTGGTGCATGCTCCTGACCAGCATCTAACCACCGGTCTTGAATAGTTCGGCTGGTAATCCATCGGCACCTTCTGCTTTATTATTCTTCTGCCGATTAATTGCTTTGGTGGTATACACTCTATTCCGCCATCTCCTATTGCATACCAGAAGCTTTGCAAAATGCTCCTCCCAGACCCTCAACACGCTATCTATATCAGTCACCAGCTTTCTATCTTCATCTCAACAGGAGGATGTGTCTGCACCAAAACCTTCGGTTCGGTGTTTTACACGTTGGTAAAATTTCCGGACTTCATTCTGACTCATGTACATCTCGATTTGCTTATGCTCACGTTTTTCATGTTCTGTCTTTTTTTGAAAATATGTTTTTCCTTTTCTCCCGATAATTTACTCTCACATTGCTACAGTCTGCAGTGTTGTCCTATAAGCTGCATTTTTCTCATAAATTGCATTACGACACTCCTGATCGTACCACGGGTTTCTTGTCGGTGGTCTTTGGTGCAAGTTTTCGAAGTTATATCTCCGATATTGCGACGTCTATCATGATTTTAATAAACGGACTGACAGAAGCATTGTTAGAACGAGGGAAAAACTTCAAAATTCTACCTTGAATATTGCGAGCTCTATCTCCATTTCAACTAAAAGACATGGCTGGAACGAAGTAGATTTTTATCTGAATGAAAACCTTATGGGCTCTCCGACTATTGTTTCAAGATTATGCAAACAAAATCATAAATACACATCGTAAATATGGCGGAGTTTATAAAAATAATATCTGGCGATTTTAATATTGTCATTCACCTACTTATGGCGTAACCCATTTTTCCCTCATAAAAAAAAAACTTTGTCTACAAATCTCCTTTATCGCCGTGCACACACTAAATTACTTAAAGTATGCAAAATATACATAAAAACACACACATCTTCACAGTAAACCCGAGCTCGTCGACATCATCGCCCAAACAGGCCACACCATAATAAATCAAGCATAATACATCATTAGGATCCGTATTGTGTTAATGAATTTTTAACACAGTTTTTTTCAGTTTCTTCTTCTTCTTTTCAACGAAACATTTCCAAACCCAAACTAGTAACCTAATGGATGGGGGCAAACATAGACCAGGGACCAAATAAGGTGGCAAATAAACGACCGCGGAAACATCAACACCAGAAAAATTCCTCAAAAATGAAAAAAAAACGAAAGGAAAGGATACCAAGCAACACTCTTAAATTAAGGTCATTCAAAGATTTACTAGACGTCGTTGTTGTTGTTGGAGAAAAAAAAAAAACATCCATGCCATTCATTTTCCACATCATTAACCCGTTCAACAACAACAGCAATAACTAGTGAAAGGTTTACGAGAACATCGACAACAGCAACAACAGTGTGAATGATGCGATGGCAAAGTCCTTAAACCCTCAAAATATAGAAAATATGTGTGGAAGTTAAAAAAACAAGCAATATTGTGTATAAGCTTTTATTTTCAAAATAACCTACATATTTTTTCTTTACTTTGATTTTAAAGAGTGCGTGGGATTTAAGTATTACTTGTTGAAATTTATATACATAAGCTTAGGTCCGAAAGGCAGGTTATTTACGCATTTTATAAAATATGTATACAATAATCATTATAGGAATATAAAATAACCATTATGGAAGGTCAATAATATATTATTTATATTTTTTGTTCTGAATCAATCTAAAAAACTATTTTGTTTGCTTTCAGGATGTTGTGTCGATTTTTGGCGGTGCCATTGGTGCAATGCGTATTCCTGAAAAATGGCTTCCCGGTTTGGTTGATTTCTATTTGAATTCCCATAACATAATGCATGTTCTAGTTGTTGTGGCTGTATATTCCATGCATATGGTAAGTTTGTAACACAAATGTATATATACATATATATATATATATTAAATTACTTATAAAAGTATACTAAAAGAACGTGTAGGGTATTGTACAAAAAATGTGGTAAAACTTTGTTTTGAAGAAAACAAGTATCAGAGAGGACCTATGGGTCCAATATTCGACCTTAATATTACTTACTTATCTGGCTTGTGACAGAACATTTGTTCCATAAGCCGAAATGTTGTCTTCCACTTGATCTTTCCATCTTATTCGAGGCCTTCCCCTTCTGCATGAACCATCAGCTGGTTCGCTTTTATATGCCTTCTGGGCTGGGGCATTTTCATCCATTCTCACAACATGACCTAGCCAACGTAGTCGCTGCAGCTCAATACGTCTAACAATGTCGATGTCCGAGAATAGCTGGTACAACTCATGGTTCATTCGACGGCGATATTCACCGTCAACACAGATCGGCCCATAGATCTTTCGGATAATTTTTCTCTCAGCTTCCTCATCTGCTTGCGAAAGTAGCTATGCTTCTGACCCATATTCTAGCACGGGTAGTATCAGCGTATGGTATAGTGTGAGTTTGGTCTGGCGGGAGGTAGCCTTGATTCTGAATTGCTTACATAGATCATAGTAGCATCTGTTGGCCAACACTATTCTCCTCCGAATTTCAAAACTGGTGTCTTTATTTTTATTTATGGTGGTACCAATGAATATAAAATCGTTAACTACCTCGAAGCTGTAGTTCTCAAGTTCCACAGTGGGTCCGAGTCTACTGAACGCCTTGCGCGTTGATATCATAACCTTGGTCTTCTCGTCATTTACTGCCAGACACACATTGGCAGACTCCTTTTCAATTTGTTCAAATGTAGATGTTACCGATCGCAATGTTCGACCCAAAATGTCGATGTCATCGACGTAGGCGGGTAACATGTGTTGTTTGGTGTACAGAGTGACATTTCTGTTCGCCTTTGGCTCTCGTATTACCTTTTCCAGCAGAATGTTAAAAACATCACACGACAAACTGTCACCATGTCTGAACCCTCGACGGTATTGACTGGCTCCGAGAGATCCTTTCCGACTCTAATTGCTGACCTTGTGCTAGTTAAAGTTATCCAGGACATGGCCTCTGAACGGATAGGCCCCTCGAATGCGGCTTTATAGTCGACGAATAGGTGGAAAGTGTCGATGTGTTTTTAGTGCGTCTTTTCCAGCATTTGACGCAGTGTGAAAATCTGGTCAATGGTGGATTTGCCAGGTCTGAAGCCGCATTGGTATGTTCCAATAATGTCATTGACCATAGGCTTCAGTCGTTTACTTCACTTTATATGCGAAGGGAAGGAGGCTTATATCTCTATAGTTGGCACATATCGCCTTGTCTCTTTTTTTGTGCACAGGACACAGGATGCTGAGGTTCCAATCATTGGGCATGCATTCCTCTATCCAAATTGTACTAATCAGCTGGTGCATGCTCCTGACCAGCATCTGACCACCGGTCTTGAATAGTTCGGTACACGCAGCTTTATTATTCTTCAGCCGATTAATTGCTATTCTGACCTCATCTTGGCAAGGTGGTATACAATCTACACCGTCATCTATTGGTTCTGGGATATCTTCTCCACCTCCACTATTTGATACCAGAAGCTTTTCAGAATGCTCCTTCCAGATCCTCAACACACTGTCTGTATTTTTCACCAGGTTTCCTTCTCCATTTCTACAGGAGGATTGTCTGCAACAAAGCCTTCGGTTTGTGTTTTATCCGTTGGTAAAATTTCCGGACTTCATTCTGACTCCTGTACTTTTTGATATACTCACGCTCACGTTTTTCTTTGGAAAATACTTTTCTCTCCATAATTCTCTCGTGCATTCCTCCATATTTGCAGGTAACGCTGCGTTTTTCAACTAGTAGCATTACGACACTCCTAATCGTACCACGGGTTTCTTGATGATGGTCTTTGGTACCCAAGTGTTGCTTTAGTTTGCAGTTTGTAGGTAGTGGGCAATTCTTTGCCATTGTGCTTCTATATTATTATCGGGGCAAGGAGTGCGTTCCTCAAGCAGGTTGGTAAGTTGAGAGGATTAGGCTTCTGCTATCTGTTTGATTGTTATTGGATTAAATGTTCAAAATGTGGATCTTTGTGGTGGAGGTACCAGAAGGAGAGATCATATGGGCCTCATCTTCGGGCTTAGGCTAGGTTTGGCAATTGTATTATCGGACATACCATTCACTTTCTATTATATTAACAAATTTTCTGACACTTTAGACACGTTGCAGGAGAGGTACCAGAAGGTGTTGACCAATGGGCCCAATCTTCGGACAAAATCTAGGTAAGGTAAACATTTCGATTATATTAGACATATGAGATTTGGAAATGTTCACCCTATGTGGGGGATCTACTGGAAGGAATGGGCCAATAAGCTCCATCATTCAACAATTTACAGTTATGATTAAAATATTATGATATGTGTAAAATAAAGTTCAAATCGGACAGTCCGTTCGCGTGATATTATAAAATTAATTTTCAGCACAATTTTGACCATATTGAGGGGAAGCTACTAGAATGAGCGGACCGATTTTTCCCATTTTCTAACTTGTACTATGTTTGGAAGAAATATTGCAATGTGCAAAGTTTGAAATTGTGTGACACGGATTTAGACCAAAATCCCTGTCACACAATATGCTGTCAATACATGGATTCTACACCCAATATTTCGATGAGGCATATGTTTGTCGTAGCAAAGGGTATATACCCTCTTTAGCCATAAGGCCGAGGGAATAAGAAGCTAAAGAATTTTAAGAATTAAACCATTAAGTATGCATTTTTTAGAAATATTTTTTTTTTCAAAGACTATCCATACCATTTCTTTTTTTTTCAAGGCATAGATTTTTTAAAAATAATTTTTCGAGGAGTAATTTTATTAAAAATATTTTTTAAAGGCGTAGATTTTTTGAAAATATTTTTTTCAAGGCGTAGATTTTTTAAAAATATTTTTTTCGAGGAGTAAATTTTTTAAAAATATTTTTTTCGAGGAGTAAATTTTTTAAAAATATTTTTTAAAGGAGTAGATTTTTTGAAAATATTTTTTCAAGGCGTAGATTAAAAAAAATATATTTTAGAAAATATTTTTTTCAATGCGTCGATATTTTTTTTGAATATTTTTTCGAGGAGTAAATTTTTTAATAATATTTTTTCAAGGCGGAGATTTAAAAAAACATACTATTTCAAACATACTTTTCCAAAATAAAAATATTTTTTGGAACTACCAAAAAGGCGTATATTTTTTCAACCGCTAATAATGTGTAATTTTTTTTTGAAAAAATATCTTTTCAACCACCCAAGGCCTTGATTTTTTTTAAATATTTTTTTTAACCAACAACAAGCCCTAGATTTTTTTCATTTCCAACCTGCTTAACATAAAACAAAATTCTTACCTTGAAGACAAGCTAGCTCATGCCCCACTGCCTTACTCTCCTAAGATCACGAGAGTCATAGAGAGATCAAACGATGAAAGTGGCAGCGGCGGCGACTGCGACGACAACGATTGTTCAGACGACCGACCGAGGATGACACGAAAAACGTAAACAAACGAAACCACGACCTATGGCCACTAACCTATGTAAACAAAAAACAGATAGAAGAAAAAACACATAGCCCCATTTTATTGAACATACAGACAACACTTTATATCGGCATATAATTATATGTACAATAATTTTTACAAATTATAATTTAATTAGAACACTTGTATCAAACACTTTTCACTTCACTTTGCCAATAACTTTGATTTACAAGGAGATGCCTCCAAACATTGATAATGACATGGGGGCAAAAGAACACAAACGCACAATGAAACACCAAAGAGGAAGAAGAAGATGGACAACTTGCAAATAAAACAAATCTACGCATAAAACTAAAATCGCGATAAAATTGACCATTTGAAAACAATATCGGATTCACTGAATTGATTTAAACTAATAATAAAACTTTACAGATGATGGATAATGAAATTATTATCGAAATTAAACAGAAAAAACGCGACTCGCGAAACTGCCAACAAATCACACGCGCCCGGCTTGAAAGTAAACACAAAACAACTGAAGGCAACATATTTGTAGAGTTGCCCTCATCAATGTAATTGAATCAAAAGAGGGGTGATGGTGGGTGGCCTTCATTCAGTCATTTAGTATAGGAGGAGGTGTTGTCGACAGATACAGTATGTCAAGAATGACTTTAAACATGGATAATTTTTAAACACTGACTGACTTAACTATTCATTAACGCCTAGACGAAACAAGTGAAGCTAGAATTTTGAATGAGGGTGAGTCTTTGCCCGAAGGTGTCTGAATAGGCTGGGTTTTTGAAAACTCGTACTAGAACGGAACTAAATAGTACTAAATATGGTACCATTTGTATTTCGCGAACCTGTAGAGCTAGAACTCTTAAATTTAGAATGAGGGCCACCCATGGTCTGTATTATAGATGTACCTAAGTGTTTATTTTTAATTTGAACTATAAATATCCCAAAAGTACTAAAATATACTAAATTTGGTACAATTTCGTAGCATGTGAATGGATAGAGGTACAACTTGAAATTTTGGAATGCGAATTAAGGTTGAAAAGTAGGGTTAATATAGGGAGGTTTGGTTTTGGAAGTGGGTACTTATGTATACGAAACCAGTACTAAATTTGGTACAATTTGAATTTGGATGAAAGATGATGAGCTGAAATTAGAAACAAACATTTCCGTCGGAGTGTAGTATACGAATATGTAGTTAGTTTTGGAAAATTGTACTTATGTGTACAAAAAGTACTAAATTGTACTGAAACTCTGTCATTTGGATATAAAATTAGTACTGAATTGTAGAATTGAATTGTTGTGGAAAATTGTACTAAATTCGGTAAATTTGTATTTAGGTGAACCGATCGGGCTTGAATCCTGAAATTTGGAATTAAGGTTAATTTTGTTGAAGTGTAGGATTGGGGTATGTAGGAAGTTTTGCAAATGTGTACTTATGTGTACTAAATTTGATAGATATAAAATCCTGAAATTTGATTTCCATTGGGTTGTTGAGGTAGGTAGTAACGGCAATTTATATTAATGTTTACCAAATGGTACTAAATTTGATACTATTTAGATTCAGGTGAACAGATAGAGCTGGAATCCTGAAATTTGTAATTAAGTTTACTGTTGAATTTTAGGATTGGGGTATGTAGGTAGTTTTGGAAAATTTGTACTTGTGGGCATTAAGTGGTACTAAATTTGATACAATTTAAATTTTGGTTGACTCGATAGAGATGGAATCTTGAAATTTCGAATTAAAATTACTGTTGGATTAGGTTGTAGATTTTGGAAATTTGTAATAATAGGTACTAAATTTGGTACAATTTGAGTTGAGTGAACTGATCTCCCAGGAATCCTGAAATTGGGATATACGATTTCTATTGGATAGTATGATGTAAGTAGTTATGGAAATTTGTACTTATTGTACTAAATTTGGATGAACCGGTAGATCTGGAATCCTGAAATTTGGAATTAAGATTACTGTCGGAGTGTAGGACTGAGGTATGGATGTTTTGGAAAATTGAACTTATGTGTACTATATGACACTAAATTTGATACAATTTGAATTTGTACTTTATTTGATACAATTTGAATTTAGGAGAACCAATAGAGCTGGAATCCTGATATTTGGGATAAAAATTATGTTGGAGTGTAGGATTGGGGTATTTAGGAAGTTTTGAAATTTCGCACTTATGTGTACTAAATAGTACCGAATTTGGTACAACTTGGTATAGTATACCAAGTATACCGATCGTCATAACTCGACCATCAGTCGATCTAAATATAAGTGTCCGTCGGTCTGTCCATCCTAATTTGTAAACACGATAGAGGTCACAGTTATGGACCAATCGTCACGAAATTTTGAATATAGGGCGGTCTTTGGCCAAAGAAAACCCCTATTGTTGATCGGTTAATATTTAAGCGATGAAATTATAATAATTGATGAAATTATGATAATAAATTTTTATGGGTTTAACATGTTGTATTTAAAATTTCAACCAACAATTAATTATCTTAATTTTTTCTTTCTACTTTCAGGCTACCATTAAAGATTTCGAATGGATGTCGAACACAAATTGTGCGGCCTTTACCAATGCATCCAGTAAAGTATTGGAATCAACATTAAACACCAATATAGAGCTATGACCATTTGATTTCAATACTTTGTTGAATTATTATAATCGTTTTATGTTTTTATTAAGTTTTAATAGTTGAAAATATCAAGGTGGTCAATGGAAACAGCAGCTACAACTACAGCAGCAGCAACAACAAAAACAACGTTATGATTATTGGTAATAATCATAAATATTAAAAAAGAAAACGAAAAGGTTATAGTTTTTTTGGAATTTTCCAAAAAAGCAAAGACGCATGAAGAAAAATTCCTCGATCAAAAAAAAATGTTAAAACATTACAAAAAAAATCCAAAAAAAAAAGCAAAAAATATAGAAAAAAACGAAGCAAAACCAAATAAGTTAACAAGAAATAAAAAAATTAAGTTTAGACAAAATATTAGAAGAAATTATTATTATTAATAATAATATAAAAAAGATATTTATTATTACGTACTTAATTACTTTATTCTTCCTCTTGCTCTGAGAAATTTCATAAACAAATCACTACAAAAACAATTAAGGAAACCAGAAATATAAAAATTACTAAAAAACACACAGTTTTGGCTTGTTTATGGGAAATCAGCTCCAAGAAAAAGTTGGATTTTTTTCATAAAAAATATTTTTTCCGTAAAGATGTGGGTTTTTTAAAAATATTTTTTCGGTCACCAATAACCCGTGGGGTTTTTTTAAAAATTTTTTTTTCAAACATCAATAAGGCGATGATTTGTTAAAATATTTTTTTTTTATTTTTTCCCAGCCTCAAATAATTCAAAGATTTTGTAAAAAAACATTTTCTAGCTCCAAGAAAAAGGTGGATTTTTTCATAAAAAATATTATTTTGTAAAGTTGTGGGTTTTTAAAAATATTTTTTCGTGGGGTTTTTTAAAATATTTTTAAACATCAATAAGGCGAGGATTTTTAAAATATATTTTTTTAATATTTATTCCAGCCTCAAATAATTCAAAGATTTCGTTAAATAGTTTTTCAAGCACCAGAAAAAGGTGGATTTTTTCATAAAAAAATATTTTTTTTCGTAAAGGTGTGGGGTTTTTAAAAATATTTTTTTCGTGGGGTTTTTTAAAATATTTTTTTCAAACATCAATAAGGCGAGGATTTGATAAAATATTTTTTTTTATTTTTTCCAAGCACCAGAAAAAGGTGGATTTTTCATAAAAAAATATTTTTTTTCGTAAAGGTGTGGGTTTATTTTTTCCAAGCACCAGAAAAAGGTGGATTTTTTCATAAAAAATATTTTTTTTCGTAAAGGTGTGGGTTTTTTAAAAATATTTTTCGTGGGGTTTTTTACAATATTTTTTTCAAACATCAATAAGGCGAGGATTTGATAAAATATGTTTTTAATATTTTTTCCAGCCTCAAATAATTCAAAGATTTCGTTAAATATTTTTTTCAAGCACCAATTAAGTGTGGATTTTTTAAAATTATTTTTTCAAGCTCCAAATTTTTTTCCAGTCGCCAATGAGGTGCAGATTTTTCAGAATATATTTTTTTCAATCCACGTATGGTAATGATGGTTTCCCATAAACTCACTAATACATACACACACAACTAAAAATTAATCTCTATATTTTGTTTTTTTCTTTTAATTTCAAAAGCACTAATTTCTTAAAATTTTAAAAAAATTATTTGACACCCTCTCTATAACAGATGAAGAAACCAATTTTATCCAAAAACAAAATTAACTATTTCAAATTCTAAAACAGTAACACAAACAGCAAGCAAAAAACAAACTCTCTTCGACTGTGGTACTAAATATTAAGCTAAATAGAACAACAACAACAAACAACTATAAAACCAAAAACAAATAGCAGAAAATAAATGAAAACGAAAAATATGGCAAAATCAATACTTTTAGACTTAGAACAAAAACCGAATAAAAATAACAACAACATAAATAGTACACTTAGAAAAAAAAATAAACAAACATTTGTAGAGTTTTCCAAATAAAAACAAAAAGATGAAAAAAAATAATAATTTTAGTAAAAATTCAAATTAAAAGCATAAATTGAAAAAAAAAACACAAACAAATCCAAGAACAAACAGCAACCAACCAAATACTCGTAGTTATAAAAATTAATAATAAAAAAAATAATAATTATTAAATTAGTAAACATATTAATTATATATATAGAGTCTATATATATACATAGAACGAACGTTATTGTTATAACAAATTAATATTATTAAACAAGAAAAAAATAAACAATTAAATTAATATTTGTTTATGTTAAAACCTACACACACACACAAAGTTCGTTGAAATAATTTTCCTCAATAAGAAGCTAAACCTTTTTTTGAAATAATCAATCTGTTGATTTAAAAAAAAATATGACTCATAAAAATATTGAGTCCTAAAAAGTATATTCTGTTAAGACTTTGGATTTTCAAAAATATGTTCCTAAGATTCATCATGCTTTTATGAAACTAAAAATTAACCAGCGAGCTGAGCAGTATAGTCGGTCGGGGCCGATACCCTACACAACTACCACGCAACTCTAACTTTCTGCGGATGTTTATTCCGAGCATGTGCAATATTTCGTGATATTTGCACTCTCTTCCCCGATGAGAAGTCTGATCATTACCGAAAATTATAGACGTTGTCCTTGACCATAACTGGAAGCTCAAGGAAAATTTCAAAAGCGACCAGCGCTATATTTTCACCCTCTAGTGTGGTAATGAGTTTCTAAATAATATTTGCACCGGTAAATATTTAAGTGTAACTCCTACATCCGAGTACATACGACAATATAATTAGTATCAATTTAAAGGTCAACCACTCCTCTTGGATATATATCCTTCAGGAGTAAATATATACGCCATAGATTTTTTTTTAATTTTTAACACAAATGACTGTATTGATTTAAATTGCTAAATATTGCCCGATCGTCTTCAAAATAGTTATGTTTATTCCTTGGTCAGACCCTTTGTGGCCTGTAGAGAGACCAAAAAAAAACAGACAAAAATAAATTTTTTGGTCCATTTCCCCTAAATATTCACCGATCTTTACCAAAAACAATAAGGGCTATTCAGAACCGGTCCTACATGAAAAATTTCGTGATGATTGTGACCTGTAACGTGTTAACAAATTAGTCGAGATATGACGATCGGTATACATAGGGTATATAAAGAATATATTTTTAATGATCCAATGATTTTTTTAACTTCAAAAATGAGTGGATTTTTAAAAAGAATTTCTTTAAGAATCTCGATTCGTCACATTCGCCAATTAAATAATTGGCTTCATTGTAGATTTCCACCAATGCAAAATTATACAATCTAGAGTTCTTCGCGAAGAGTGGAAAATAAAATTCCAGATAATCCCGCTTTCTTTATAATGGTTTCACATATTCGAATAATCCGCTTCAGTTCCAAATTTATTTCTTCGTCCTTAATCTCTGATGGAAGTTATTTCAGTTCTTCCGATTTATCTTTAATAATGTTTACCAATTCCTTTAGTAGACCTACTGTCCGTAATTGTATTCTCATCGTCAAGTGAGTCATTCGATTTAACTGTTTTGGAAGTTATTGCTTTTATGGCGTCTTTACTATCCGTCATTATAGGGGAGACTTGGGCACCTTCGGCACTTTTTGTTTAGAGCTCTATATCTCAGTACTTATTCAACAGATATAAATAATTTATGGCTGATTATTGTCCTCTGATAATTAATTATAAAAACTATTACCAAAAACATATAATAAATTATTATTAGTTAAACACTTTTACCGTTTTTTTTTCTTTTTTTAAATTCGCCGAATGTGCCCCTACCCGGGGTAGCGTCGGCATTTAATGGGGCACATTCGGCAAAATAGTCGTAGCCTGGTAATTATCACCGCTATCAGTGTGGTTGAAATTCAGGTCCTCTAAATGTTCCATTTTGCTACTCAAAGTTTGACTTTTAAGGCTATATTCTCTAGCGCCGGACGTTGACATCTCAGGGCCACACACACCATCAGAAATATTATTTTCCATCGCATTTTCGTCAATGCAAGCAGATTTGGTCTTATATATGTAATATCGAACCGTATCCCCCCATTCTCGGTGCCAAAAAAATTTTATTTGTTTTTTCGCATCTACACTAATTCAAGAATATCCCTACGAAATTTCAAGTGAACATCTCAAGAACTCTTGAAGTTATAGTCGATTTATTGTGTCAGCACCAAGTGACGGCAAGAGTGATTCTCAAACTTTAAACGCATTTTTCTCGAATCAGTTATTTAAGAATGGCGGGCACGATAACTCAAAAACTAATAACCCAATCGATTTCAAATTTTGGAACGTTTCTCTGTGAGTGTATAGCTATCGTATGAACTAGGATAAAGACAATCGGTGAAGGCGATTTTCCAAAAAAAAATTCCGCCATTTTGTTAATTGTAGTGCGAAGTCAATAATCCTAGTTCATACGAGAACGGGACATGTACTCTTTCTAATACTCAAATTTTCTCTCTTGCTCTCAATTGAGCTGCCATATTTTAGGAAAAAATCAGAAGTGCTTGTTTATTAAATAATAAATTGAATTTGGTTTGCACAACGTAACATTTTCTGCCAAATGAAAATGAAACAAATAATTGACATTTTGTGCTGCTAACGCTAAGAGTCTAAACGCAACCATAGAGTCTAGAGTCAGCGACAGTCGTTTGCCGTGTGTTTCTTATAGGCAACAGGAAATCGCGACGTCTGACGTTCGCGTCTAGCGGCATGACGCTAGAATAGATTTTATTCATTTTTGCTCAGCGTCATACTCAAAATTTCTCTCTTGCTCTCAATTGAGTTGCCATATTTTAGGTAAAAATCAACAGTGCTACCAAATTTCAATGAGAATTTATATCAAAACATATGGCAGTGCTTTTAAAAAAACTAATATTTTCAAAGATTGTGGATGTTTTTAACGAATTAATAATAAAATGGAAGAAAAATAATTTTTTCAATAATTTTATCCAAGTTCCTTGACATTATTCTTTATTAAATAATAAGACTCTTAGAGTCTAAACGCAACCAGAGAGTCACGAGTCAGCGTCATACTTTTTCGCCGGCGTGAAAACCAAACGAAAGAGTTAGCGCTAGCGGCACAAAATGTCAATTAT